GACGGACGCGGGGGGAGCCCCCGGGCGGTGCAGGGCGGCGAGGAGGAGGAGGACGAGGAGGAGGAAGAGAAGGAGGAGGAGGCGGAGGACGAGGAGGAGGAGGCCCGGCAGAGCCCGCCCCGCAGCGCCTCGCCTCGCCGGCGCGGCTCAGCGGCGGGTCCCCCCACGGCCCGGGGGTATGGGCTGGGCACACACACCCCCCCCCCCGGGCCCCCGCCCCAAAAGGGGGCCCGCAAAATTAAGCTTCAGCCTGAAGGGGAGGGGTGCACATCTCCCTCACCCTTCGCCTCTGAACACGCAGCCAAAAAAAGGCTCAGTATAGGGTCTTTCTGACCGGAGAGGGTTTCCCCCGCCTTTATAGATGCTAACAAGGTTATGCGGTGCTGGACAACTGAATAAAGAATTTTCCTTGTTAGTTAATTGAGTTCTCCTCCGAACCATCCCTGTGCAAAGCATCGATCTCCCGAGGCACGGGTGACGGGGCAGAGTGTAGGCTGTCTGCTGCAGATTTACACCAGACCATTCGTCTCTAGCTCCGTATATAAATTCTGGCGTCTACGTATTTTGCTGAAAGCCTCTCTCGGAGGAGGAAGTACACCCGCTCATAAGCAAGAAGAAAATAGAAGGATTCTTGCTGGGAAAGAAGAAGAAAGGCAATGTTAAAAATGCTGAAAATTAAGACCGAAAAAGTAGACCTTATGAAACCTCTCATTGTAGGAAAACAAACAGCAGATTTAAAGCTTCATAACCAAAGAAAATACTACTTGCTAAGAAAGGTGTATGGAAAATGACTATGCATTTTTCCCCCAATATTTAAAGAATTCTTGCCAAACGCAGCTTTAACAAAAAGGTTCCGCATTCTTCTGATCCAGTAAAACATTAAGAAAGATTTTACTTTTATGTGTTTTATAACAACTCTCTTTGCCCTTAGCAATCATTCTTCTGTAAGAGCAGGTTTGTCCAAAATCTCAAACAAACACAGCAAAAAGCACAGTTCTTTGTCAAGCCACGCATATCGAACAAGCAGCTGAAGATCTAGAACAGCAAGTTATGTCCAGGTTAAGAAAATGCAATTTTAACTCTGAATCACTGCATATACATACTCGTGGAATGCAACTTTTACAAACAGAGCACTGTAAATCTCCGAGAACTACAGCTGTGCTTCCAAGAACATTTAGAACATGAAGCAAATTATTTCTTTGAAACCTGCTGAAGATTTTCTACATATTTTTTCAAACTACATATCCTGAAACCCTGTTTTGAGCTACAGGAACTGAACGCTGCAGTGTTATGCAGGCTCTAAAGGCATTTTGCTGTCATCTAGCTTTTGGTCATTTCTGTCCTAAAGACCTACCCACACATGTACATAAATACTCTTCAAGAGTATTTAGCTAATTTTTTTTCTATTTTCTAATCTGCTAGAACAAATTAGAAGGAAGGGAGCACACTGCCTAACAAAGGGCCGAAACGATGCACCCCTACATAAAGCCCAAGCAAGCAAGCTTTGCAGCAGAGATTTACACTATCAGTCCAGGGACAATGCATATTTGCAGACTTCTCTTGTTCACATATGCAAGCAGCAGAGGATGGCAAGCAAAAATGCAGATACAAAGTTATCAATCACTTATTTTTTTTAATCCTTGCATTGAGGGTAACAATTATGGACATTATATAACTAATTATCCCACAAAATCACTACCGAGGAAGACTGACATCCACAGTAACTCTTTGTACCCCAGCTGGCTGCTGTGGTCACCTCAGCCTCCTCCCCCTTCAATATGCCTTACAACTTCCAGTTCAAAACATTTAAAAAAACGCATTTCCACACTGGCAGAACTCCAGTTTTGTGCTACCTCCAGAAGCACAAAACGTTGAAGGCAGCACTGGCTGTTAGTTCAGCTCCACAAAACATATCAGAAGGGGAACACATTAGCACAAATATGGCAGTGGGATAGACTTTTCTTGCTGAAAAAGTGGAAAGAAGCACATCCACAGTACAGACAAATGAAAGCAAAAAGAAGAATGAAACCCTGTGATCTTTTTCCCTAAATTCCAAAAGCTTGTGGGACAGCCATTTCCAATAACAGCAAATAGGCACATAACAAAACAACAAATAGTAACAAAATGTGTTTAAACTGGTTCTACTGCATGTAATTTGTTTCCTTTAAAAGCAACGTTCATAGCACAGAGTCAATGCCCCAAAATAATCCTATACTAGGGTGAATTAACCTCAGTCAAACTGTTGTGCATGCTGTTTATTTCAGGCTGCTCCAAGTCATTACATTTCCTTACAGGAGAGAAAATAACAGTCTCAAACAAAACTGTGTCAAAATAAAGGAAAATATAAGGCTGCTCGTGAGTTTGAATGATGTCAAAAAAGGATATTGACTGAAATGGAGCAAAATAAGAACACAAAACAGGAAGAGGGAAGGCCTGAGCAAATGAAGCAGCATGTCTCTTTAGTCAAATTTTAAGGTCTTTGTTTTGTATTTGTTTACTGTAAAGGGGCATGGCGGGGCGGGGTAGAGCCTTGTGGGCAGTAAAACGGTCTTAAATTTGGTCCATCTTACATTTATATATTAATTGCAAGAAGCATTTGATTTTTTCCCTCCCTCTTTCTGGAAGCAACACACAAAATTTGTCTAGTTGCTTAGATCAAAAAGGGATAAATATAATACACCAGCTAAACACAGAAGTTTCACAGTTGTGTTTAAAGGTCAAACTGTGCTACAGAATTGCTTATACCATCAACCTCAGAATGCTGTATAGAGGTAAGACAGCCCTTTAGTCTACATTAAAAAGAAGAAGAGGGCACCGGATACAAGGAAAAGCAGACTAAAGAAGAAGCAGCAAGGTATAACATCCTAATCTCTAATAAATCTGCTGCCTTGTTGTCTAAGAGAATTAATTTTCTCAGATCTCCAATCTTCTTTACTATTTTGGAAGTATGATTTGTAAGAAATGTAAATATACTAAATGCATCATATTCTCATAACATGACATGCTTTATCTTATAACCTGACAGCATTCATTTCATTCATATTCCCACTTTCTGCTAGTTGTTCCATCCCACACTTAGTTTGTAAAACCAAGAGATAACTATTATTTGTATGACAGATTTATAGAAAACTTTTATATGACTGAGACTATTAAAAAAAATCAAAATATAAACTCTCTCTAGCATAAAAGTATACATGTGTGGGAAGAAATTGATTTTGAAATCACACCATCCTTTCCTACACTGCTTTGGGACAATTACCATGGGAGCCTATGTCTTACTCTTCTTTGAAGTAATATAGGGAACAGAAGATGTTATTCCACAAATCCAGCCTGCTTAAATATTCCTCTGTGAAGGGTTACTCCCACCACAGTGCACACCTCTCAGGAACATTTTCATGGAAGTGAATAGACCACTCCTGCTCACTATGTTGTTCACAGAGCAGAATGCACAACTTCATTACAAACGACACTTGAGTTATCATCACTGCACAAAAGGGCGCTTCCACATGTCCCTCAGCTAATGCTGCTCCATCTGTGGAGCAAGGAAGAAACAGACGTGACATGACTACTTTCTGCATCAACGATAAACAATATCCCAGGCATGTGATACAGCACTGTAGTTGAACATTTACACCACAGAAAGTACAAAGTTCATAGGAAATACACACATCCTTTTCCCTCTAGGTCAGGTAGTCATCTGTCCAACTTGGTTGCAGTCAACCATGGTACTCTCTCCCTGTATTGCTTGACAAATCAGATTTTTTTAAACAGACTCAGAGGACCTTTAAGAAGATAAGAGCACTTTTAGCCTCTTGTAATAACTTCAGTAACCACAGACTGTCATGTATGACAGACAGTATTGAACATCATTGGCAGATGCTAGAGGAGGTGTATCTGAAGACTCTGCTGTGACGACAGTGCTCAGGGCTAGGCATACTTACATGTGATTAATATGACAGCACCGAATTCTTCCTTCAGCAGTCTGGACCTTTTATGAGACAGATCCAGTGACTTCTGCAGCTGTTGAAAGCAGTCAGTTTGGCTCAGCCTTTAATTACTTATTGCAGCAATACAAAGGAAATCAAAGTAGGTGACAACAATGCCTGTTCCTGCTTACAATCCCTATTCCTCAGCTTTCTCAAAGTTAAGACAATTGTGGCGTATCTTGAAAAGTCATCCCTGGAATACTTTATCTGAGGTAACCCCAGTAGGTGTACAGTAAATGAAGCAGAATCATGAGAAATTTAACAGATCTTCCATCTAGCTTTCCACAGAAAATTATTTTAAGACAGCTATAATACCTGTTTGGCCTGTTTGCTTAGAAATGACATGGCTCAATGAGGGCAAGAAAAAAAAAATCTGCGTTGGAAGGTGGTATAGCAAACATTTACCTTCTAAGCTTCTAGGAATACAACAACTTTACCATTGTCATTACTGAACATGCCAAAGGCTTGACAGCTATCAAAGATACACCCCCAAAAATGATAGCACTTATCTTTCTTGATAAGTTTCACTCCAGACCCAGAGATGATCTTCATTTTGCTCTCTTATCTATTAATGAGCATTGTCAAAAGCACTTCAGTGCTTTCAGTCATCTTGGTCATTGTTCAACAAAGTATTGACTTTACCTGAAGCTTGAAAATACAAACCTTTATCAGTTTTTCTACTGTTAGCATTTAATCATACCACCTGATTGGGCCCTTCCTTTTTCAGAAATGGCACTTACTATCTTTGAAGCTATATATGGGTTACTGATGCTTTGATGATTAGACTACCCTGGGAGCATTCATACAGTTGAAACGTTAGTGAGTTTTCACGTGACAATCTTTTTGATCTGACCAAATTAGCATAATTTGCCACAACGTAAATTTTCTTCATATGTAGCTAAAAATCTTTTCCTAAATAACTGTAAAAGCCACACTTGGTT